TCAAATGTAAAACCATCTGGTCCTGGGCTTTGTTTTTGGGAAGTTTTAATTAAGGCTTTAGTCTTTTATTTGCTATTGGTCTGTTTGAGCTTCTATTTCTGTCTAATTAAATCTTGGTAAGCTGCATTTATCTAGGATGTATTCATTTTCATCAGGAAACTTAATTTGTTGGCATGTAATTGTCCATAATAGCCCCTTTTATGTTCTTTTTATTCAGGGCATCTGTTGTAATGTCACCCTTCACTTCTGATTTTATTCATTTTAATCTTCCTTCTTATCTTTATCTTTTTAATCTCAGTTTTAGAAAATTTTGCTTTTGTTTTCAAAAAAAAACTCAGCTTCATGGATTTTCTATGGATTTCTATGGATAAATCTCTGATTTATTCCTGATTTGTACTTTATTATTTCCTAACATTTGCAAAGTATGAGTTTAGTTGTTTTTGTTTTCCTTTGAGGCATAATTTCAAACTATGTATTTTGGAGCCAACTTCCTGTACACAATACCCAGTGAGCCATCGTTTTGAAGATAGGCTTTCCTCCTTAAATAATTATTGAGTAAGCAGAGTTTTATATAAGCAGAGAATAAAGTGCTTGGCTCCTTTTCTACTGAATGGTCTCTGCTATGTGCATTTTACAGAGCACGTGGATGTAATTTCCACTTAAAGACACTGCAGACAAGGAAGGAGCTGAGAAACAAGATAGTAAAAAGTGGTAAAATGCTGAAAATTTCAGAAATACATAAAAGTTTAAATTAGAAAAGTGTTCTATTTTTACAGGCTTTTATTGTTTTATCACTTTTATATATTCATCTGCTATATTTTAGCTACATTACTCATAACAAAGGCTGCTTTGACAGTTGCTAAACGTGCCTGCACTTACTTAAATTCAGCACCTCAAGCACCAGTGAAGAGCACAGAGCAGGCGTTGATGCTGAGGGCTGTGCAGACCCGCGAGCAGCTCCTGGGAGCAGCTGGGACACATCCTGTCTCCAGAGATTAACTGTGACATCAGCTTGTCATTAGATTCTGAAACCTCAGCAGCAGCCAAGTGCCTCTGCCCAGGAAAATACTGCTCGTCGTCCTCAGGGCTGTCTACACAGAGCTGCCGCTAAAAGGCTAAAGCAAATGTGCATTTAATAATGTCTTTCAATCACTGTGCTATATAACCACAATGAGAAGCATGCCGTAAAGTTTTATAGCAAGGAGAGCGTTTACTCTAGCTACTCATATAGAGCATATCTATGTTTTGAACTTATATTTATGTTAAAAGTGCTAAGTGCCTTAACACTGAAGTAATTCCAGAAAGACTCATTATTGCACTAAGACTCTGGCTTTATCATAAACTGAGCATAGGCACATTCACCAAAATATATGACTTGAAGTATTTAGATAGCTATCCTTCCTTCCAGTGTGAGTGGAGAAATCATTCTGTCATCTGTTTACATTTCAATAATCATTTGGCATGTGTGCACAAGAAGTCTGTTCTCTTCAAAGTCTTAGTCTAAAGCAGTTACAGTTATGAAGCAGGAGATATCCATTACTTAGGCTGAAGAAAAAGACGATTAATGATGACTCGGCCCTGAGCTCTCCCTGTTACAACTTCTCCTGCTCTGTGCACTTGAGTAGCACTTCTAAAGAATTATCTCAGCATGTGAAGTTCATGCTTTAATTCAGTTAAGGTCAATAATTCAGTGAAAATGACATGCTCATTTCTGCTTCAGCAATGGAAAACAAATTGCAGCCATTTGTATACCTTTTCTTCACACTCTGAGTAATGAAATGGTGATAGATATTTGGTGAATCTTAGTGTCTGATCTTTTTTGTCAAGTGTGTTCTGTTTTACAAAAAGCCTTCTTTTGTCTGAACTATTAACAAGCTTTAGTATGCTGTCATGTAAATGCATTCATGAGTCCTTTGGGCATGTGTGCACTCAGATACATACATTTAAAAGCTGTAAAATGGTGAAATGTAATGTGTATGATTTTTTTTAATTAGCACAGGCCCACTTTAAATTTTTTAAGGGGAAATTAACTTTGGTGTCAAAATGTGGCACTAATGAAATAGAACTTAATGTTTTAAAATAATAGTAAATGCTATATACTAATAAAATTATATTACAGATATATGTTATATTGTGTGTGTGCACATACGTGTATGTGTGTGTAGTGATCCTGGGGCTTGAATTCAGAGCCTGAGCACTGCCTTGAGCTATTCTTATGCTCAAGGCTAGATCTCTATCACTTTAGCCATAGCTCCACTTTGGGCTTTTTGGTGATTAATTGGAGAAAGAGTCTCATGAACTTTCCTGTCCAGGCTGACTTTAAACTGTGATCCTCAGATCTCAGACTCCTGAGTAACAAGGATTTAATGCATGGGCCACTGGTACTTGGCTTGTGATATATAAATTTAATAATTACTCTAATTTTTGCATTTCTAAATTCTCCCACACATATGCATATGTGTGCATTCATATGAAAGCATAATTTTTAAGATACTTGTTATGGTCATATTCTTATTCTTCAGGCATTGATATTTTTGGACACTTGGCTTGTGAAGTCAAGAGCTGAACATTCTAAGCAGCATGTCATCATTACACACACCAGCCTCACTTTACAAATGAAAAGTGGAGGTGAACATCTATCAGTAATCAGGAAGCCATGTCCTTGTCTGATTAAGTCTGCAGATACCTCTGAGAAGAAACGCCTCATTTAAACCTTGTTACAGCGGATGCTCATTTTCTTCACATTTTCCAGAGATAAGTAGGTCACATACACACACACACACACACACACACACACACAAGCACATGAGCACACACGCATACATGCCACACACACATGCACACACACGTGCACACACACACCTGTATGTACTACATATGAGTCCTCATATCCTTCCCCTTGCCTACACTGGTGCCCCTAATCTTAAATAGTAACTAGTCATATTTTTATAAATCTTAAATGATGTTTGTGGTCACTGTGAATCTGGGTGATAGTGAAGTTGGCTTCCCCTTTGCTCTTCTCTTTCCCTCCCTCCTTCCTCCGCCTTTCCCCCTCCCTTCCTCTTCCCCTCCCTCCTCCTTCCCTTCTTTCTTCCTCCTTCTTTCCTTCCTTTATGTTCTTTCTTTGGAATGTAACTTAATTTGTGGTGTGAAGAAGTTTTGTGACATTTCCATAGACGCACAGATTGCACCTTGAACAGATTCCCACAATTCCCATTCCTGCCTTACCCCTGTGCTTCTTTTTTGTTTGTTTGGTTGGTTGGTTTTTGTTTTATTTTGTTTTTGTTGTTCTGGGAATCCCCCTGTGCTTCTTTTTCAAACAATATTTTCATTACTCTGTCTAATGAAACCCACCATACACATACACACACACATACACATTTATTACACACATAATGTCATTCAGTTCTAAATATTTCTTACTATACCCTCTTGATGTTTTATTTCAGACTTACTGCTCTTTTGTACATACATTTTGATGCTCTTCTAGCAATTTCTTTTCATGCTCTGTGCTCAATTGAAAATGTATATTCATTTCCATCTTTATCTGTAAAGCTCTTTAACACCAGGTTTTATGGTGTTTTGAGATAGAAATGTTTTATGTTCTATACAGCAAATGTGAGTTCTCTCAAGAATTTCTGGCTTTCATGTCAAGATAATCCCAAATAGTTCACTAATGCACACACACTCACACACACAGATTTTCTTCATGGATGTTTAATTTCTGTAATTGTGGATAACTAGAACTTAGTCTTTGAATTAGATGCGTTTGAAGCATGCTGGTTGTTATAGAATTGTGAAGAACTATCTTAAGATCTTTTCCTGAGGTGTTGGCTCTCAGTGCAATTCGTCCCTTTATATAGTCCGACGTATTGACCTGATACTTCATGGGTTTACTGTTGGTGGAACAGGCCCCCCCCCCGGGCAGGGGGGGGGTTGGGAGGGGGTGCAGGAAGGAAGGTACAGCGGTTGCTGGGCAGTGCAGAGCGTTTACAGTAAAGTGCGCTGTTGTCCCTGGAAAACTCTATCTGGACATAAGATGAGTGCTTTCTATAGGAGAACGTCATCATGAAACGCAAATTGAATTGGGATGTGCAACGATTTCTGATTTGGTTTTTCTCCTGCCTTTGATTTTGTGGCATTTTTAAGCAGAAGCTTGGTTTGTTTTGGGAGCGTTGTCTGTTTTGATGACAAAGGACTGCAGCTTCAATGCACGTAGAGTTTTTCTGAGTTGCTTTTGCTGTTTTGCTGCCTTCCAAATGTGTGTAGAATTAAATATCAGAAGGGACAACTTAAATGTTAGGCTCGCTAGTTGGAGGCCCACCACCCTGTCCTTGACTTGACCCTGGGCAGGGTGTTTCCTCTGAACACCAAGTTCCTCTGCTTCCTTCCTGGATTCCCCTCATGCAGACAACCCATGGGTACAATGGAGCTGGTCTCCTGATGGATTCAGGAAGCTTGACAGTGCACTCATGTGGTCCTTACTGGCTCCTTAGGTGTCAGCTGAGAAGTCGGCGTGTCCGGACTGGCGGGTGTGGAGGACCATCCACTCACAGAGGCTGTCATTCTGGTTACTCACAGGCCCTGTGCCATGTCCCCTGCCACAGCCCCTGCCTGGGCCTGACCTCCTGTCCTACAGTGGAAGGCCCTGGTCCCCCCGAGGACCTGCTCCTCACATGCCCAGTGTCTGCCCTCCAGCCTGTTTACATTGCCTCCCGTGGGTGTGCCCTGTGTCCTAGCAGCTGTGTGTGGGGGCTGTGCAGAGGACAGTGGGGTGTGAAGTGTATTGCAGGGACTTAGCAAGCTTGAAGGCCCAGAGTGCGGGGTTCCAGAGACTGTGTTGGCTAACGGGTTGTGTTTCTACAAGCCATACGAGCACAGGTGGCAGCCAGTGAGGCGTTGCCGGCGGCCGAGGAGGCTGTCAGCCAGGGCGGGCCCTGAGTTCCCCCGGGGCGACTGCACTCAGGCCACTTGTACCAGCTTCTGCCTTCTCTCCACAGAGCAAAACATCCCTGGCCCTGCTGTATGACGAGGCCTCAGACAACACCTATGACGTCCGCCTACAGCTGACGCCCGAGGCCCTGACCATTCAGCGGCAAGACGTCGTCTGCATAGGGGGCAGCCCTCCGGGTGCCAACGTAAGTGCCTGCGGGCTGCCCGGGGCAGTCCTCCAGGGACAGTGCACATGTACACGTCACCTTCAGGGTCAGTCCTCACAGGACAGTGCGCATGTACACGTCACCTTCAGGGTCTGTCCTCACAGGACAGT